GATATCTGAAGAGGCCTGGGGGCGGGCGAGGCTGGGCTCACAGTTCTGCCCTGGAGAACCGGGTTCTAGCCTGCTTGACCCTGCCCCTCTCACAATCTTTTGTAACTAGCAACAAGCTTTTTGGAAGTCAAATTGTGTATTTTTGAGAGCTTTATATATACTTTGAATGCTAAATCATTATGAAAAAAGGTGTTTTGGAACTGTACAGTGAAAGCTAGTGACTTCGGCTTTTCTAACTCATCTCACAGGGATGCTGTGAAGGTAAATTGCTCTAAAGATTCTCTTACCGTACTGAATCCCACATTTTCCCATGAGGATACTACTAACAGTTTTCAGAGCAGGATTTGGCTGTTGCACAGTAGGGTTGTCCCAGACTAAGTGAAGCAGAGGTCCCAGCATTAGTCAAGGCATAATGCGGGGAACAGTCAAACATAAGGCAGAAGGTGGGGTTTTGTTTGTCTTTTTACTAAAACTAAGTGTTCAGAAGAACACCATATATAAGTTCGTATCGATGAGCTGCCATAAATGGGAATGGCTGCCATCTCAGCATACATGACCTACTGTATAGCGTAAACCTCTCGTTGCGCTAACTTGGTATTTCCATCCCCCTAGGTCAGCTGCAACTATGAGCCTCACCTGCGAGGAAATGTGTATGTCCAGTATCAGTCGTAAGTGCTCACAGTCTTACTAAGTTTTAGAACTAAACTCCAAAGCCGGTAATGAACACTGTTTGTATAATCCACATGATTAATTCTCATACTGTAACGGGAGCTGAAAATTGATAAGTAACATTTTAAATGATTGTATGATGATAATGCTGTGTGTCATTTTTACTTTTTAAAGGGAGAAGGACTGTCAGGCAGCTCTTGCTCTATTCAGTGGACGATGGTATGCAGGCCGACAGCTTCATTGTGAATTTTGTCCTGTGACAAGGTGGAAAACTGCTATATGTGGTGAGTCACATAAACGCGTGGAAAAGAGAATGTGTGTTACTGAAAGAGTACTTACGGAAGTGAAAAAGAGGGAATTAGCCTGTAGCTTTCCGATCTGCCTAATGTTGTAGTTCATTTCTGTTTGGAGGACAAATAGGCTAACTTGCTTGTGTAGATCGAGGAAAGAAAGGGAATATTCATACCATGTAACGTAACTGTCTGAATCGTTCTAGTGGATTTACCTTGGACTGGAAAAGAAAGTTTGGATCCTAGCTTTGGAAATAATAATCTTGAGGTGAAACCACAGGAAGTACTAATTTGCTGTTGCTTTTTAAAGAGACAGTTTCTGAACCACCAACAGTTCTCAGCAGTAGCTATCACATTTGACTTACCTATGTTTACATTCTTAGATTAAGGTAGTAAAATTATTGATGAAAATTCTTTTAAGCTAAAACCTTCATAGCTGTTAAAAAGTTAATTCCAAGAAAAGTACATATTGAAAATTAATCTTGCATGAATTAAATTGATAGGTGGTGATGCATGTTTTTCTGTTTGAAGAAGCAAAATTCAGTTTCTTGAGTTTCTTTCCAGTAGGTGTGTAATGAAGAGAGAGAGATTTAACAGGTCTGGTGCATAAAAAAGCAAACCCTAATCTGTTGCAGGCTTATTTGAAAGGCAGAAGTGTCCAAGAGGGAAACACTGCAACTTTCTTCATGTATTCAAAAATCCAAACAATGAGTTTTGGGAGGCCAATAGGGACATACGTATTTCTCCTGAACGGACTAACCAGTTGTCTAAAAACTCTGAAAGGAGAAACAGAACAAGCCATCGTGATGACTATTACAGCCGGTCAAGGAGAAGGGGCAGCCCAAGCCCAGATCATTCTTACCGGAGAAATGGAGAATCTGAGAGGAAAAAGAATCGCCGCAAAAACAAGAGAAGGCGCCGATCTGGAAGGTCGAGAAGTCGAGAAAGGAGGAGGTCTCGCAGCAGGGGGAGAAAGAGGAGAGGCCGCAGCCGCAGCAGAAGTCATAGTCGAACACGCAGTAGGAGCAGAAGTCGGAGTTCCTCTAGATCCAGGAGCAGGGGTAAAAAGAGATCGAGCAGCAGAGGAAAAAATAGTGAAACTCCCAAAACAAAGTGAGAATTACTTCTAGAAATTGCTAATTGATCAAACATAGAGCTGACAAAGAAATCTTTCCAATAGGGCACCAGGTATATTTGAGTTTCAAATAAAGTGTTCTTGCACATTAAAATGTTTCTTCCTAATAAAGGAACCTAGTTTATTGTGTGCTAAGCTTCAGAAAATTCAAACTTTAAGTCCTATATAAGGTGTGAATGTCAAGTACTCTAGCTACTCTGTCCCTCTAAACTGCTGCAACATCTGGATGCATACCGAGTACAAATAGAAAGAGAAGCTTATTTGGTATATGCTTATTTGTGTGTTACGTGTGTGTTAAGTGTTTACTGTCTCTGTAAGGAGTTAGTACAGAACAGCCAGCGTGCTGTAAATTCACACCACGGCATACTGCAAATTGAAGTCTGTGTAGAAGACTGCCATTTATATTTTCCATCTGTTTATGGGAAATCTCTTTCTAGACAAAGTAAATATAATCATGTTATGAGCTGGAGAAAAGGGATCTAAAAGACATCATTATTTCATTGTACAATACTTGCCCAGTAGGAGCTTTGTGGTCATAAGTGTTGGATTTTTCTCTCTCCCCTGACTGAGCTAATTGCCTGTAGGGATTGCAGCAGACTAAAACCAAGTGGGAAGTACACAGAAAAACAATCAATTTATTCAGTACCTTAATCCCCGGGTAAGAGCGGAGACCGTGCACTTGTAATCCTCAAGTGAGGATAGTAAATACTTTGCATACCTCTTGGTTGCATACCATTTGTATGCAACCTGCCTGACCTGTGATGGAGTTGGGGAAGAGTGTACATCTGGTAACCAAAGGCGCGTAGGTAGTTGTGAAGGCTCAAGGTGGTTGCAGAGTGGCTAAAGAAACGGAAAGTTTTGCACCTGAAACAATACTTTTGGGTTTTGGGAGGGGAGGACTTGACTTAAAGCCTTTTTAGGCTTATTTTACAGTTTAAGGCACCCTACTGCCTAGCTTCCCTACCATCAAGGTAGAGAGTAGGGTACGTAAAAATGGAAGTTATCAGGACAAAACCTTTTTGAAATGACAGCTGTATTAGCAAAGTACCTGCAATTAGATAAATCCTTACAAATGTTTCTTTAATTTTTAAATGAAAGATCTGTGCTATTAGCTGGACTGTACTTCACACTGCTTAACTTCAGGTATTTAACTTGGGCACCCAGGCGTCCTTAGAGGCTGGGAGAGAGCAGTTTGTGGCAGCGAAGGTGCAGGGGTCCTGAACGGTCTGCAGAGTAACCTCCCTCTCTTTAGCCTCTCCAAAGAACTCGGGCTCCTGCCTTTCGAGCACAGTTCAGAAGCCTAAAGCAGACATGAAGTGCTCCCAAACAGATACTCGTTATGACTCCCACAATGTAACATAAAGTCCTGTAGAAAATCTGGATACCCAAACTTGACGATAGCATTCCTCACAGCCAGAACATTTTTTCCGCCAGGATAATTAAGAGTGAATGAACATTGCTTCTGGATATAATATATATATTTTTGCTTTTCTAAATGCATACCGCACCTAGCATGCTGATTATACATTTTCCTTCTTTCATGTGTAACTGTTGTCCAATATGGAGTAATACAACAAAAGTGCTATATATTGATGTTCAGTTCAAACCCAACTTTCACTATATATTGTCATAACTGTAGGCAGAATTGTAGCTTAGTTAATTTGATTAAATGTTTTAGTTATTAACAGGTGTAGGAATTGTAATTTAATAGCATAACTTTTGAAATAACTTTGTTTGAAAGGCATATTTCAAAGGATAGACAGCACTAAGTTTCAAATTCTATTTGAGAAAGTTGTGACCACCTGTTTCTCATAATGGATCTTTTTCTGACTAGACCTTACAGACAAGATTTTTCCCCGAGGTTTCTATTTTTTCACAGATGCTCACTTGTCTAGTTGGGTCACTTGCGCAGAATGTGGCAAACTCTGGTTCTGTTCCCTGGAGCAGAATTGAACTGGCGTTTCCCACTTGCCGAGACACACCACCAGCAGCCCAAAAACATCTCCCGGTCACTGGTGCTGCCTTGCTTCCCACAACTCGCGCTGCCAAACTGGCCTGCGGGTTAAGGCTCTCGGGAGGGAAGAGTTGACCCGTAGTACGTTGTACATCCCGCAGCGGGATATCCCTGAGCGTTAACTTAGGGAAACCGATGACTGAGCTCAGACAGAAGTGGTGGAATGGGTGGTGGGAACCTGGGACCGGGCGGGTGAAATAACTAAGCAAAGCAGGCCGCTGTAGGATTAGATACCAAGTGCCAACTAACACCATGTGAGAATTCCACAGGTAAACAGGCTCCTTGTCCCCATGGTTTTGTAATGGGATCAGAGAAGCTGAGCTGCTGTATTTTTTTAAAAAAAGTTCTTTAAAAAAAAAAAAAACTTGCTCAGAGATGCATGTAAAAATTTAAATATACTTTATTTCTGCTACTATAACGGCTGAAGCTTCAGCTTTTCTTTCTTGAGGTCTGGACCCGAACTTGCTGGCTGTACCTGTGCAGTGTAGGGCTGGCAGCTGTAATTACCATTCACTTGCAGATGCAGTCTGTTTATTACACAGAAATTGAGTGCTGTAGGTCTGACATTTAGTTTGCATTTGTTAGCATGAACCCTGGAATTCAACTAGTTTTCTAACTTCAGAGTTCATATATTTCAGTATTGTTTCCCTACTTCATAATCTTAAGTAGTGTTATGTGCATGGTTTTGTGTTTCCTTACTAGCTGAGTGAGCTATTTATTCTGAAGAGACAGAGTAGTTTTTAAATGTTAAGCTTAATTATTCTTTTTTTCCAAAGGGGAGAAGCCCCAGGAGAACACAGAAAGGATTTAAATTTGCAAGGAATAGCTTGTTCTCACTGCGTGTTATTCTGCGTATTCCACATAAAAGGACCTTATAAAGTGAATTACTATTGGCCAAGTTTCGTTCTGTTTTGTTTTTAATGACCGCTGAAAAGCAGCGGCTTTCAGAATTCTTTTTTTCAGTTCTGAATTCCTCAAGGATCGCTGGGCAGCTGTAGGGCAGTTATGAAAGTGGGCCTTTACCGAGAGCTGCAAGCAGTCGGTCAGGGCAGTGGTGGGACCCTCCCGGCAGGGCTGTCGGAGAGCCCAGAGCCCCCCGGGCCAGCCGGACGGGGAGCAGGGGCTGCTCCAGCCCCTCTCCTCGGGGAGGAGGAACACGGCCTGGCCAGGCAGCGAGATCCCACTTTCCCAGTGGCAGAAGGGGAAGGGTGAGGTGTCAGCACGGTGGGAGCTCCCATCGGCACAGGCAGCGTTGCTGCGCAGCAGCGTGTAGGCATCAGGGGACCGGGCTTTGCCCCCCTGGCAGCAGCGTGCCCTCCTGCCCTCGAGTTGTGGCCGGTGGCCCCTTCCATGCGGTTGCCCTTTCTGCCTCTCCGGGACGGCTAACCACTCTCACGGGGCGAGGAGAGGCAGCACACGGCCAGGCCCTGACCGTGGGGCTCCCGTTTGTTACGGCGGGGGAAGAAGCACACCCGAGAAGGCCTTCACCTTCCCTCCCGTGCTGGCTCCTTCCCTCACGTACCGGGCAGATGGTCCGAACTGCATCCCTAAGTAACTTCTCAGCTTTACGTCCTCCGATCATAGCGCGTCTTTCTCAGATTCAGTTTTACATTACCACGTACAGCGTATCAGAAATCGCCCTGATGTTTACTAGTCACATTCCTGTGTGCTAAATTTTTTTCAAAATAAATGCAAGAGCCTGCTTAAAGATGCTATTGCTTCCTGGCCTGGATCAGCACTTCTTACAGAACATGAAAGTCTATGCTAGTTAATAATTTGAAAGCATAATTTACTCTCTTACATCAGCAAAAGAGCGCAGCTGATTTTGCTTTCAGTGTAAGTTCTTTGTAATTAAAATAAACCTCCATTATTCCACATATCCTTCTATTCAGCGCTGATGTGTCAGCTGAAAACAGTATCTGTCTTCTTAAAAAAACAAATAAAAAAGAACATTGACCAGTTACACGTCGGTAAACTGAGACAGATCACAAAGTGAACCACACGAGCATAACCCACGACACATGGTCACTTCAGAAAGGCAGCTGCAGGGTGAGCAGCGGCACAGCGTTCACCCAGAAGGCACGGGATGTTTGGGAAGGCCTCTGCAAGTTAAAGACCAAGATTTGGTGATGACCTTGATGACGCTCAAGCCAACACGCACTTGCCAAAACAATGCAGAAATTCCAGTGGATTCTTTAGCTTCCCCCTGCCCCTTTCCCCATAAGATGGGAAATTTAAGAAACAAAATTTTATTTCGTATTAATGTAAGAAACACCCTAAGATGGTAATTTTTCACCATGCTTTTGCTGATGACATCAACCAGTTCAGTTCTTTTAGAAAGCTGGAGAACAGATTAATCTGAGAAATTTTTGGTCGAGATGAGGATTGTGAACGTTGCGTTGACTTGCTCATAACTCCATGTAAGGAACTGAATCATCAGTCTGTATTATCCAGAACCCTCTCTCAACACGTGGTTTGTTTTAATTTTCAAATGAAGTGGCACTACCGCATCAATTTAACATCCACTTTAATAAGTTTCATGTTTAATGTGGTAAGCCTTCCAAAAACTTGCTAATTTATTGCTTTCTGTACAATTTAAACAGATGTAAATAACTAATCTTGGACACAGTATACTCTCGCATTTTTTTAATAAAGTGCTCAAGAACAGGTTAAGCACTGTAATAAAATCTCCCTTTTTTTTAAGCTAGCACTGAGTAGCCTCTTCTTTCCTCTGCAAACACCAGAACTAATTACATATAAACACACAGCAATGGTGTAAAAATGGACATTTATTACAACTAAACCAACGTGACAGACAGAGGTCAAACAGTTTATTTGTCACAATCACAACAAAGCTTAATCCAGCCAAGCACATACAAGTGACAGTGTAAACTTTAAAAACATGTTTAATACATAGAAAATTGTTTCGGGTTTGACTTAATTCAGGTAATTTTACCCCTTCAATCTGGCACATGGGGTTATTCTGCTACCACTTTATCCTCATCTGGCCCTGCACCTTGTGCACTGGGGAAATGCCACCCACTGCTTCGGTGTGCCCGGGGTGTCTGGCAACCTGATCTCTTTCAAGTCCCAGAAAGGG